ATACAAATTAAATACTTATCACGTAACATACAAGGTAAAAACCCGATTACACTACGTGGGTCATGGGGCAGACATTAATGTATGTCTGTTTTATTGTCAATATTGACGGGCAAATGTGTTAAGTTGTCTCGGGATGCAAACCCAGGCTTTTAATTAATTGTTTGACTATAACCACGACGGTGAACATTAAAAGCAAACAATATATATAACTATATTTGTAAGTGCATAAATTAACATTTAATCTTATATCGCAGTCATTAAAAGATTATGTTCTCAGATTAATTTGCGTGCTAACATAATATATATAATGTCGGTTGTTGATTACATCTCCTTTCTAAGTAATCCTTGATAAAAATAATCAATTAACCACACATATTAGCGATTTTCTTTAGACTTTTTTAAGAATAAGTGTTTGTTTAAATAAATACTTTTATACTATCTGTAGTTTACGCGAGTTGTACACATTAAAAAAAACACTATAACGGTTTAAAAAGCCATATATGCAGCTGCAAAGCCTCCGTAACGTCGGGCCGTAGTTAAAATAATTTTCAAATAAGTTTAACTAATATAATATATCGCGTTTTAATCCGTTAAAGTGTTTTATTTAAATATCTACAGCTCGCGTAAAGTAGAGATAGTATAAAAGTTTGTATTTAAAATTTGTATTTTTGGCAGCTACATTTCTTACATACTCTCTCTTGTCTCTTAGAAGCCATGTTGGAATATTGAAAACTCCATTATCCTACATGGGACATGGGTCAGACATATATTTGAGTCTGTTTCACTGAAAGATATTATTTATAGGCGACATCTACCCACCCAAGCTATTAAGGCCCTGAAGGCTGTAGACACTGTCATTTTCAAAGCCTTTTTTATAAGAAATACGCATTTGACAACAGAAAGATAAATAATATAGCATTAATATACTAGTAAAATGCTTTTATCAAAAAATCACTGTTATCAAAACTGTGATAACATTTCTTGCTTACTTTTTTGTTACCACTACAAATAACATATAACTAAAGACATAAATACCTCTAAGAGAATGAATTGAAAGTAATATTGTTATGATTTGTAAAAGTCGTATTTTTCCTTAAAACGATATGCGGAGTATTAATCAGTTTTAATTTAACACTACATTTATATATTTTTAATAATATTTAGCGTTATGTAATAAAAATAGCAGTCTTACTTGCTAACTTAAATATTTAATACTATAAATATAATATAATATAATGTTATAAAAATAAGTTTATGTATAAATCAATATTTTTTTCTATTAATATAGAAAATCTAACACATATATATAGAAAACACTTTGTACATAAGAGGCAGTACTCTATCAATATTTTCAATTATATTATATATAATATAATATATAAGTCAAATCTGTTTTTAATTATACATATATTTATAAAATATTTTTTTTGTTAAACAAATAATCTTCTTATAATATATAAATGAAATATTACACTGAAACTTATGAAATTACAACTTACATTTAGCTAACTTTTCAGTCACACAATCACAAAGTGTTCGATACGTACGCGCTCGACTCCCGCGCACGCTCTAGTAAAAACTCTTAGTAAATAACATAGCAAAAGATATGGAGTACGTAAACTTCAAACGCACCGCACCATTTCAATGACTCATTAAAGTTGAAGGAATTTTAAGACTTTTCCGATAATACCTACTTGATTCTGTCGCTTTTAATGTTTTCATCTCGGTGAGTCAACAAAGAATTTATCTATTTTAAATGGCACTCGCGTAAAACATCTTTTTTTACAAATTAGTCGCTCGTGTTTTAAGTATCTCAGAAATAACTGATTTAAAAATTTATTTTGTATTAGATAGAATTTTTAGCGAGGTAGGCTTTTAGTTTGTTACGCTGTGACACTGGAAAATGTAAAAAAAATAAGAGGAAACTTATTGATCTTTTCCCGTTGAATAAACCATAACGTATCTTATACAGAATGATTTCTCTTTTAATGATCTAAAAATCCCTGGACTGTATAATATGTCTATATTTTAAGATTAACCCGCAAGAACCGCTTTTATAGTAATAAAATTAGGTTGAAATTAATGCGTTATTACATACTTACTTTGTGATCTACTTACTGGTTAGAGTTGTATTAACATAATAATATTAATCTTGCAAACCAAACCACGTTTGCCAGATAAGCTAGTTTATAAACTGGTATTTAAATAAAACACTTTAACGGTTTAAAACGCGATATATATTAGTTAAACTTATTTGAAAATTATTTTTAACTTCGCCCCACATTTTGGATGCTTTGCAGCAGCCGTGGTCACGGGGCAATTTAAACGACAACTTAAGACGGGGTTACACCATTAAATTGTTTTATTGAAATATGTACTATTCGCATAAACTACAGACAGACTTTAATACTGGTATTATTCAATAACTATTACATATATTTGTATTATATTACTCATTTAGAGATTTGTAATAAGAAATAAATTAAGTCGCTTTGGACATAGTGCTTAATGAAACTTGTTTAAGCTTCTCTAAATTATTTTACTATAATCGGCGTCACAGGCATTCACTCATGGGCAAAAGCAATGTGAAGTCGTTGAATGAACCTCTAGCGGAGATCTTGTCGCGTGTTACAGCAATTATATAAATAATTATATGCAAGTATAATCAGTCTGTTATGTAAATATACACGTGTACAAAAAGATAAACTTTCAGATTATATCATTACATTAATCTAATCCATGGCTTTAATGGCTTAAAGGTGAAAGCTTTTTTATGATAAATGAGGATAGACAAGTATCGGGTTCTCAAGTACTTTGGCTCTACATGTTATGTGGGTACATGTCACCTTGTCATATCATTAAAGTCTTAAGTATTTTGGTCTTATATTTTCTTTATTTACTTATACTGGTTACCCAAGGACACAGCACAAAGACGTTGTCCTGAAAAGCATGGCGTCATCTGTCTGTAAAATAATGAACATTGAATAATTAAACAGAATATTGTGTGCATTGAACAAAATACTTGTCAAATATACAGCATTACTTTAAATCTTCGGTGTGTGTTATTAAAATCAGCACTGAAATAGCCTTTTTGTATATAACGTTAAACAAAACACTTATTTTATTTTATATTTACGTTTCACCATCACGAGCGGACGGCATCATCATGACATGTTAGCTCCTCGATTGCTCGAAGAACTAATTATTAGATTTAATTTATTTAATGCTTCGAGCAATCGATGAGTTAACCTCTCCTGATGATGCCGTCCGCACGTGATGGCGAAAACTCGAGAACCTCTTCTGGCTCACGTCCGCCGAACCGCCCGAAAGACAATGATATGCTGAACGATGGCTGTGAAAGCCTTACACAGTTTATTAAAGTATATCGTGTTTAAAACCGTTAAAGTGTTTTATTTAAAAGTTTAACTAGTATTTTATACTCAGTTGTAATATTTATTAGCAAACTATCGTAGACTACACATTGCTATCATTATTTTTGTAGGCAAATATTATTTATTTCATTAATATGTAATTATGTTCTTATTATAGTTTGATATAGTATATATAGTAGATACAGACACAAAGTAGATATCATACTCATTTTAAATATTCGATGTAAGTTTAACCTAGTATCGAATATTTGAAATGTTACAAAATATTACTACAGATGGTATGTTTATAAAAATATAAGGTTCATTATTTTTCTGGCACTAAACCTTATGAAAGGAAGTATTACATACCTTTGTACAAAAAGAATTTAACGTGCGTTGACTCGTTTACAATTTATTTTAACTAGTGCCCGACATTAAGGATGCTTTGCATCAGCCGTGGTCACGGGAGGACAAAAGTGGTCGTAGTTAAAATAAATTGTAAATAGCCTAATATATTTCGCGTTTTAAACCGTTAAAAGCGTTTTATTTAAATGTGTACTACTCGCTTAAGCTACCCACAATACTTGAACAATGTTTAGCATTGACAGAGTTTTACTCAATACATCAATGTACGAAATCTTTTAATTCTGGGAATGCCGATAACGATATAAAATCATAAGTGCTTTACTACAATTTAAGGTTATGTAGCCTTATACAATACTAGCATTGCCAGCGACTTCGTCTGCTTGAAATCGTTAATTTGTTATTGCAAACCTCCTCCAAACTGTTACCAATGACATGGGTCGCGTTCCGTTCCGCGACGCACCGTTCGAGTCAGGAACCGTTGTACTTGCAAGGTAATTTTAAAAGATAGACATAATATTGTTGTCGAAATTCGTAGGTCATTTAAAGAGATTTCATTCCTGCATACATATTTTTTGGGTAACTTGACGTTTTCACAGAAACCCTTAAAGATGAATAATTTTCCCCGTTTCTCTTTCATCATAGGATCGAAACGGCTTCAGGCCCTATGATGCGATCACTATTGGTCGCGTCATGATTTGTTATGGCCTAAAACCTTCCTCAATAAATGCTCTAACCAACACAAAAAGAGAGCATAGCGTATTCTGAGAATAGCGTATTCAAACAAACATTTTATCGTATTGTCTGCGTCACTAAAATCACATGGTAATATTTGTATTCAGATTGTTATTTTATGTCAGTACGTTTTTTCATAAGATATATTATTCTGCTAGAAGAGTTGTCTAAGGAATATATCACAGAACAACAGTTATTTTAAAACCATTATTAAACTGTCAAATCTTCTTAAAGTCTAGTATCATTAAAAATATTAATTATTAATTTATTTACAAGAAATATACGATGCAGGACAGGCATCCACATCGTTTCGTGCTGCTGCCTTTACAAATTCAGCTACCGTGTCATTGGTTAGCAGCAAAACCTCTACAAGGAGGAAATGGGGAAACGTCCTTACAAGCGTTTTTAATAAATGTACATTTATTTAAAGCTTTTTGATTTCTAAACTATAGGTACATTGCATAAAAAAGACAAGAATGAAGATGCGTATAAAAAATTTAACTGGTTTAATGCTTATAAAAAATGTAGAATTCATTGTTTAGAATCTTGCGCGTGGTCTTTTGTTTGTTCGCTCTTCTCAGGGTCTTCTGGTCTTCTCTTGAGTGGTCCCTGGTCCCAGTCGCTGGGGTAGCCGTATTTATCAACATCGTCCCACCATTGGGGCTCGCCTGATCCCCAAATTAGGTAGATGAGATTGGTCCCAACTAATACGCCAAATACAGTCCAAAACGCTACTCTCCATTGTGATATTGTTTGCTAAAAAAAAAAGAAAAGATTTAAATAAATATATGTATTTACATTTTATTATTTATGAAATTTAGGATATACGTAGAATAGGCACATAAAAAAATATAATGATATAGAAGCAAAGAAAATGTTGCACTATTTATATAAAATATATTTAACGGTTTAAAACGAGAATCTATAACTTATCTTAAAACAATGCATTTTAACTACCTACGACCCAAAGTTTTGTATGTTTTGCATTATTGTAAATATATTTCGCGTTTTAAACCATCAAAAAGTGCTTGCTACTCGCGTAAACTATAGGCAATAATAATTTTTACATTGATTATTTTTCTAAACATGTAAGTAGATAGTCAGACTTCTACGCCCCACTCCCTCTTAACTAAGTGTTTTCCCGTAATTCGAATCTAGGTCTTTCACTCTCATTTACCATTGACATACAGATATTGTATTTAATACAATACAGATACCCTTTGTATACAACAAGTACATATTTCTCACACATTTATATATGTTTGTCTTCGAAACATCCTAAATATGTCATGTAATGCTATGGGCTTATTAGATTAAAAAAAAACTGCCATTTTAATTAAATTTGCAAAAACCACTACATCATGCGACGCATCAATTATTTTAAAACATTTTTCTTAATTGAGTTTTATCAACCGAAGCAAATTCGAACGTAACTAATTTTAAAGACGCAATTTACCCAAAAATTACCATGCGGAAAATAGCTACGTCAATACAACAGTAACAATACTCGTCAAGCCAAGGTGACGTAAAATAATTACAAAACATGATTAAAGAAGAACTATCAACGGGTCATGATTTCGATGCCCACCGGATCGAAGATGTTTTATAATGTTCCAAATAGATGTTGGCAGACGAATGTCTGGAAGTCTGGATATTAAATGTATGAGAATATTGAAATTCCATCCGGGTCACCAACCACTGTCCACAGAGCCGTCGAGTTTAATCGCGTTTTGATTTCAGTCTATTGATTTCCGAATATTTAGAGACAAAATAGATCGACAGTGCGGCTTGGGTGGGGTGTTATATGTGTGAGGTGTTTCACCTACCATCAAGTGATCCTATGCTGGTCTTCCTCCTTCATTATAAAAAAGAGTTCCACTATGAACACGTATTTTCATCATTATCAAATAGGTTTTTATTTTTAAATTATTAATTGCAACAAAGCCACTTATCCTATAAATTGAAATGAAGGAGTTGAACCGGTATCGTCAGGGTTCCGTGCTGTTGCTCTAACCAATTGAGCTACCGTGTCCTCGCGTCATCGTCGATTATTTTCAACCTATTCATACATTCACCAGCACAGAACGCTGAGAATACCGATTCAAGTTTTGCGCGTATTTTTATTTTTATTTTTAATCGGTTTTTAATGTATATAGTGCCAACATGTGTAAATATTACGTTTTCAAAAGATTTGCTTCAATTGTATTAAGTTTAACACTTACATCAGGCGTCAATAATCCAATTAAATATGGAGTGATGATCCCGGAGACCGCAGCCAACCCATTCACCATTGCTGAGCAGGTACCAGCGTAGTTAGGGGCAATATCCATGGCATTAATCTTCACGCTGCTATAGAAACCGGCCATAAAAGCCATGGATGCTATGAAGAAACCCACAGCTTTATAGCGGTCGCATCCGGAGTATGAAGCGAGGATAATAAATATGGCTGGTATCGTCGATGCTGTAATGGTACAAAGCTAAATTATATGTTATATTTAATGTCTATAACTTAAAACTAGTAACTAAAATACTGATTTCACATATGTCATTAAAATTTGAATTAATGTATTTGTTCAATAGTCAAAACGGCTTGGCCGATTATGATGAGATGTTGCGACGTTTATAATATACTTTTCTAAATACGTCGATCTTCATTTTATTTATCAAATGTATATTCAACATCTTACTATGAAAGAAAGTATTGTGAAAAAATCCTAGGACTACAAATTTTAGATATGCTCTGTGTACATATATAAGTAATATAAAGGCCTTTATACTGAAAGGAGACCTGACTTTCAGTTATGGGAGCTGTTAATAGGGTATCGGTATACATTAATAAAATACTTTTAACAGTTTTAAACACGCAATATAACAATTAACTTATTTTTAATTTAATTTAAGTACGATCGTTGGGTCGTTACAAAAGTAAACAGCTTAGTCAAATACTGTCTATAGTTTACGCGAGTAGTACACATTTAAATAAAACACTTTAACGGTTTAAAACGCGATATATTAGTTAAACTTATGTGAAAAATTATTATTAACTTCGGCCCGACGTCGGCTGGGAGAGTCACAGTCGAGCCGTGGTCACAGTCTCCCCGTGACCACGGCTGCTGCAAAGCATCCGAAACATCGGGCCGAAGTTAAAAATCATTTTTAAATAAACTTCACTAATATATCGCGTTTTAAACCGTTAAAGTGTTTTATTTAAAGCTTAGTTAAATTAAATCAAGAAGGTTACCTAATATATTTTGCGTTCTAAACCGTAAAAATATTCTAATTAAATGTGATTACTTGCGTAAACTACAGACTTGATAAGTATTTTAAAACTTACACACTGTAGTATATATCTTCCTTCCTGTAGTAATACTGTGCCATTTTCTTCGTATACACAGATCGCATAGAGACGCAAAAACAAATGAAAATATGTACATAGCAATGTACGGTAGGGCGGACATTATTCCCGTGTCTTTGATGTTGAATTTGAGTACTCCAGAGAAATATTTAGGCAGGTCTGTTATCATTGTGAAGTATCCCCAATCATGGCCGACCTGTAACGGAAATATTTTTTTAACATTCTTGTTATTAGACTACGCTTTTGAAATTTGGAAACGGTATTTTAAATTTAAAAAGTGTAACTTTGTATTGAGTGGTATATAATTTAGTTGTACGAAATAAAAAATAAAAACAAATTATTGAAAAAAAATAAACATACACAGCACGTAACGTCCCGCTCGTGTCGTATAACTTGTTAAAAATATTAAAGTAAATAAAATACGTTTGACAGTGACTCTTAAATGTTATATGCAGTTGCTGTATTTCTCAAACATGTCACAATATGTTACATGTCACGAATTTTAAAGCTGTGTGTTTTCGCAGGCATAATATTTAATGTTTAAAATATACCTATCTTTGTTTCCTTTTTTAACGTCAAAATTGCATTTATGTAAACACGACGCTATACCTTTTAAATTTTTAAACAACTATTCAATAATACGTCAGTGATGTTGTTTATTTTTTAAGATTATCGTGTCACAAGTGGATTGTGTAACAGCGACAAAGACGCAATGATAGTAAATTTTTTATCTGCTTTATCGGTTCAGTGAATTTTGTGGTATACATTTTAATAATACAAGTTATATGGAAAAATTGTACTGAATTTTGTAAGCATGTGACATATTCAATTATTAACAATAGTAACTTATATATGATACAACGGCTACACCGAACACAGTTTCCACACTTATTTGTTACATGATGAAAACCGTCGGTTGTAACAACAAGTCTATCAAAACAAATTTATATATGCCCTTATTTGTTTCGAGTTTATGTTTAAATAAATCTCTTTTAACGGTTTTAAACGCGAAATACTTACGTAACTTCGCGTAACTGCGTAATTAACAAGTTATACATTAAGTTTGCTTGAATCTAATAAAAATGTATTCAATATTGTTTATTTCATTATATTGAAAAATAAAAATTCAATTCCTCTAAACTCTATAGCGATCGCTCTTGGTGTGTAATATGCTTTGTGATACCATTAGGGTGGAAATATAAATATCCCCGGCCTACGTATAAGGCATAAATACAAGTAAAATGCGCTATCGCCCTATTTTGGCATTGAATAATCGAAAATCCACAGATCCAAAACGAAATGCGGTTTAACATTTCAAGAGTTTAGCATTTGTGGTTGTTGCTGAAATTTTTAGTTGTTAACATTTCAGTGCTACACCTGGACCAACTAGAACTAGTCTAGAAGCTAAGATATAATTATAGTTACTCTTACTATAGTAATTTCATTATGCTCACCGCCGCTAAAACGAGAGCCCAAAGAGGCGGAGATCGTAACAATTGCCCAAATGGCACCGGATCCAACTTCTTGTGAAGGCCGGATGCCACGATGTGTTCATTCAGATAATTCTTCTCTTCATCAGATATAAACGGATGGGAATTGGGAGTGCTGTAGCATAGGAATATCTAGAACATAAAAATAATGTTATATTAATTATTTATTCCAACTACGTAGGGAGGAATAAGTTTAAAATTACTATTATAGTTGGATGGACAAAGAGAATATAAAAATATTATACGACATTTAAAGTAAAACACTATTAACGGATTAAAACACGAAATATATTGTTGTTGTAGCATGTTATACGAAGCACGAAGTATGTTGAGTTCTGTTTAATTTGATCTAATTACGGCCTGATGATTCGGATGCTTTGCGGCCGTAGCGACGAAATCAAGTAAACTACGGTCATATTGGTTAACTTAACTGTTTTTAACGCAAAATATATTTTCTGTTGTCTGTGTCTGTTATGTGACAATTTTTGTTTGCCTGAGTCCTTTATCTATATAAATGACACACAAATGTTTCTACAATAATATGGGTACTAAGATATGATAAATAAATAAAAAACTTAAAGGAAAATAAAAGCCTACCCAAAACACGAACCAAATGATTCCAAGTCCTCCAAATACGTAAAACACGTTAGCCCAATCTCCACCATCGGCTAAAAGTACACCAGATATGTACGGTCCAAAAATGTTCCCAACTTGAGCTCCACCAAATATCATAGCTCCGAAAACGGATCTTTCTGATGGCGGTACCCAACGGGCCAACAACAGAACAAATGCGGGAGTCACTGGTCCCTAGACACCAGACGGTATAAATAAAAATAATTTACGTCCTTTATAAAGTTTAACAGATAAAACCAGAAATGCCACCACCAGTAGTCTTCATCTTGAAAAGGTTATAGTTAATAGTAAAAATATATTAAATAAAATTATATGTATGCTCTCAGTATATTAAATAGTGCAAATAAGACGAACTTACTTTAATAATATAAACTATATTTCATAACGAAAAAAGGAATTGACACAGACGGGACTTGAATCCACAATCATCAGCGTAACATGCCGTTGTTCTAGCAATAGTGTTACCAATATCAAATTGTTTATAAATGTGAAAATTACAATGTCAATATAAACTTTTCTTTAATAAATTCTTGCGCAGGCGACATCAAAAATAATCTTGCTTAAATGGGTCTCTAAAACCTTGTCCTCGTTTGACAATGTCGTCAAAATAATGCGTATGCACAAGATATCAGCATTATTGTAATTTATCAAATTTAAAGAAATACAGACTTGACACTTACCTCACCAGCTCCCTCTATAACTCTTATTATGAAGAGACCTACTGCCCCTCCCACAGTTACTGCCCACGGTGTAATAACCGTTGCAATCGATGTGCACAAGAGACTAACGCCTATCGTCCATTTTCCACCGAATTTCTCAGCTAGAAGACCACCTGGTAAGTGGGTCAGTACATAGCCATAATAGAACGCACTTAAAAGAAATCCTTGCGTCTTTTCATCCCAATCGTAGCGTTCTCGACCCTGGAAATTGAACATGACCGAAAGATCGAAATAAGTTACCCTGTCATGCAATGTTGGTACCGTTTGACATTCTATATTTAAATTTAACGTATTTAAACCTACAATAACTCCAATACTTGTATTTACATTATGTTTTCAATAAAAATTCTTACTTATATTACGTTAATTTATTGAACTCTTTTTATTTTTATTTTTTTCTGCACAACTGAAAAAGTGCCTTCACTATAAAAATTATAATTAAAGACACTTACAGAGTTTAAAACAGTAGCGTTACTCGAAATTTCAGAACCAGACACAATATCATCACCAGGGCAAGTTTCACCAACAATGTGTTCTGATGGCGCTACGTGAAGTACCATTTGGGTTATCGTCATACTGAGGCAGACACGCATTGTGAATGAGTTGGCCAGGGCAAATAAACCCATCAGACCGATTATATAACGCTGTGGTACAAACATAGCTGAAAGATTCAAGCAATTAAACATTACTATTATAATCCTAAATCTGACAACAAAATCATAAACCAAGTACCTTTGTTTAGTATTAGCCGCCATCCTTTTAGAGTCATTGTGGATTGTTATTAAACACCACACCGATATCCTGTATCTCTATGGTACAATATGAATTATGTCTAAAGGTTTTCCGATTCTCGATAAGGCATATCTACTGAGATGTCACTTTGAATCATAATGCCTAAAAACAATGCAAGATGACATTATCGTATGAGCACGTGTCCATATCACGATCTCTGAAGATAATGTGCCTCTTGAGTTGAATTAAGATAAACCACTCGAAGTATTTAAAGTCAACTGCGCACTGAAAGCTAAACTTAATTATCGTCTTCAAATCTTCAGCAAATGGCGTCGTTTTACCGATCACAGAACTTATATTACAATAATATAAGATAGAATATAATAAATTAGTAATGGTAAAGACTGTCACAATGGAAGTAAAACTCCTTATAATAACAGTAAAGCAATTAACTGCTTTTATAGATACCATTACGTTAGGAGATAGTGGTGTCAGAATACAAGGTTGTAATGTGAATAGGCCAGCCAAAAAAAACAAAAGCATTCAGTATACCAAATTCTTATATCTGCGGCGCATATCGTTATTCTGTCTAAGAGAAATGTTTGATTTGATGTAGCCAAACATTCTTTCATAGATCGGCAAAAATGTTATTTCTGGGGGCCTACCACAAACTTTAAAAAAACCATCATGTATCAGGAACGTTTTGTTGCAGGCTTAAAACAATATTACTCAGATTCGTACCATGACCTATATAAAACAATATTGTTTTATTCCTGCTTAGTGACGTAAAAGAACGAATGATTGTCTATTCCCTGCTTAGGGAGAAAGCGAGATAGCTAATGTTTTTCGTATAGCGTCATCACTTTCGCACAGTGTTCCGAAACACGCACTTACAGTTAAGATTTTGGATTTTTAGGTACTTAATATTTTTAACCATATATGTGTAAAGTTTTTAAAATAAATAAAAGTATATTCAAATAAATTTGAAAACTTAATTTTTTGTCTCAAATTAATTCTTATCGTACATTTAAGACGTAAGTATGTCAAAAATAGGGAGGTTCGCGGTTGTGATTTCATGAAACGGAACTTTTATTAAGTCGTGACGAGGTGTCAGTGAAATTTGGCGCGGGAACGCTTGAATATTATAAAGTTTGTATGTTTAAAGTAAATTGCAAATTTTCCATATCTCAATTTTAAAATGGCAGACGGAAAATAAGTACAAGTTCAAAATAGTGTTTTTATAATTTATTTAGTTTATATAACCAAAAAATATCTTTCGTTTAGCTTTAAGTTCTCGTCGCTTGGAATTTTCAGTAGCTAAATTAGTGTTTTAATTTTTTGTCGGTAGTGACAAGCCTAATGCAGAATTACAGAGGGTTCAGAAAAAATACACAGCGCCTTGCAAAACATTGAAAGGTATTTTAATTTTAGGTTAGAAATAACAAATGTGATTTTATTTAAAAATTACAAACAGATTTATTAATTACAAATGTACAAAACTCTCTCTCACTTTTGAATATAAACACAGTAAATAATAAAGTTTTAATAATAAACTATACATAAAAAAAAACTTTTAATATTATAATAAAATAAAACTAATAAGAAAGTTAATAATATTAATGTTCACTCCTATTTACAGATCTATAAATGACGCCTTTCCCAGAGCTGGGCAGTCCTAGTAGCCCATCCTCGGTGGAGTTATATTGTCACCGCATGAGTCATCATTGTCCTTCTCAATGGATAGCCAGAGTCACCTGAAATAATAATAATGTTACTTCTTAGACAATTAAATAATTATTCTCAATTACATCTTTCACTCAAAACAAAACATATAAATACCTAAAAACCGAATACTCTCTGCATTACTGAATTCTTCTAGATGCATTCTCAATGGGTAAAGTCATGGGCAGCACCGCCATGACTTGCATCTTCGCTTAATATTTTCATATATGCATCACAAACCTGAAAAAACATAGTAAAATAGTTATATATATATATATATAACATAATAAGTAATATTTAAAGTGACTACCTCATATTTCTCTTCTTATTGTTCAAAGCTATCCAACTCTTTGTTATTATTTCAATAAAATTTTAATAATATATCAAATGTAAGTTTGGGAGTTTATACATGACTTACCAATTGAATATTCAAAGAATGATAATGTTTGCGACAAAAATAGTGTTTATTAGTGTCATTTAGTGCAGGCCGTGCAATAGCAACATGGGTACAGTCTATACATCCTAAGATACCCGGAATGTTAAATTTGTTATAGAATCTAAAAAAATATATTAACATTTAATATATAATAAATTGTTTCATATATACAGAAAGATTCATTAGTCCAGTCAGCTTGACTCTGAACATAATATGACCTTACTACATAATAATAAAAAGTGTTGTGCTGGGATAAGAACATAATGACATAAAAAACCACTTACTGTGCTTTTATTCTGTTGCGTTCTTGGTCATTGTTTGGGAAGCTGATAAATAGTATTTAAAATACCTTCGTCTCCACAAACAAGTCAGTGGATTTAACTGGCTTCTTTAGTAGAGGCCTTAATTCATCACACAACTTATACGTGAGCTCCTTCGTAAGCCTATATCTTTTAACAAACTCCATTTCGTCAAGGTCGAAAGGGTCACATTCCTGGCGTAAATGCCTACGACGCTGCTTCTTCGATGAGTTTCTTTCGGCATTATCTACTTCCAAAAACTCGAATTTTTCATATTCATCGGCCGTCTAGAACCACGCACACATTTAACTTTGCAAATCTAATTTTGGGTCTTTCCTTAGTAAAATATCACTTTTTCACAAAGATTCACGCAAATTAAAACGTTTTACTTACTTTTGAAGTTAAAATATCTAGTTTTTCTAATAGAAATATGAAAACAATCTTGCTTCCAGCGTACAAAAGCAACTTTTTTATGATTGCTAAATTTGACATAAAAACAATATTGCTAACTGTCAAAAGACACGTTGTGGTACGCTTAATTGAGCGAATGATTTGCGGTGACGTCACAAAACTGCTAAGCTAAACAATATTACAATAAGCTTACTTTTTAAACGTCATGGTACGAAATTTGAAAGTAAGATTATAATAATACTGCTATAAGAGATGGTGGTAGGCCCCCTGTATCATTATCAAATTTGTCCATCCAGGTTTTGGGAGTAGATGATTTCAAAATAAATAGATTTTGGTTACTATCACTAAATTTGATGATGACAATCGTTAAACTCACCAACAAGCATTAGAGTGGAGAGAACGGCGCCCAGCAGTGGGACAATGGTGGGTTGAAACGAAGTTTTAAGCAAACAAAATTCTTATCGGAACCTCTCTCTTACTTTATCGTAAAGACATTCTATTTATACACTTATAAAGTATTATTTTACATTAAAACTGAAACAGTTGAGGCAACATGAACAATAATACAGATGTATCAAGCGCAAATGAATACTCAATTGTTGCTTTGAAAACGCTTTTTTGTTTTTGTAATTTACCACCAGTTATATAACCTTTCTTCGAGTAACACTCGATGCTACGTCATTTTAGGGTTACGTTATGTTAGGTTAGAATGAGACGCTATTAGGAAGAATCGTTGTTCATCTGTCTTCTTTCTTCGAGAATTTGTTACAAGATAATGTCTAGCCAACATAATAGATAAAAATGAAAGATATCACAACAAATAAATATAAAGGAACGGAATTCAAAATCAAATTTACCTGTTGCATTAGAGCCATAAAGCAAATATATGATATTTGTAAATGGGCTATTTAATAATGCAAAAATATTATTAGTTATCAGTATTAAGTATAAGTTCAGAAATAGTAAAGTCACCTATGTTAAAAATAATAATTCATTTGAATAAAAGACGGTAAAAAAGTAACTTTTTTAAACATTTGTCACGTGACACAAAACGCTTTTGAATAGTCGGGTTTATGACGACGTCACTTGCTTATAAACAGTGGCGTAGCTATCGTACGGCGAGGTGGTGCAGTGCACCAGAATCCCGGAACTTAGGGGCCCTCTAAGCTTATCTTTGACAAGATATAAGCGTAGAAAAAAAGGGTTATTAACGTTGCTATTTATAATTTTGGAGGTTCATTAAATTCAAGCTATGCTAAAAGAGGGGATGAGGACCCGATACTTCCTTGAGCCTTAGAATTAGATAGACCGGGGCCCTTCTCCACCACCGTGCTTCCTAGAGTTAAAACTGCTATATTCTCTGCATGAATAAATAAATAAATTTGTAATTTATTTTATTACTTCAAACTGTATGCAAAAAATGCATGTAGATTGTAGATCATATGATCGACTTACACCAATGGCAAATACAAGGTCGGGACGTTACTAACCGTATTGCAGCGTTATTTCATTAAATAATGAAAATTAATGTTTAGGCGCGCAATTTAAATGTTGGATATTTAATTTTTAATATAGCAAATATGTATCAGATTTCAAAAAATACTACATTTCTGGGGTTCCTTAACTACCAAATATAAAGTACATTTTAAAAATCAATCAAATAACCCATTGCGTTATTTTGTTGTTATAGTGAGCTACCTTCTTTGTCTTATCCGCCCTCGTTAGGCTAATGTGTAATATTTATAGAATTTTTGTTTATTTGTTTAGTTTTTTTTTACATTTATTGATTTTTATACAGACAAGTAAATAGAATAAAACCTAACATCTAGTATTAACAGAACCATTAAGCTATGGAAGCTTTTACTATAATAATTAGTATAAAATTTTCTTGTTTAACTTTTACAAGGACACATCACGTTCTCAATAGCTATGTCTTTTACTTTGACATTAATTGTTAAGGGCATGTGAACGCCATGATATCATTGTCTAGTGTTCAATGAAGTGTAACAATAGTATGTCTATAAATAATTATGTCAGTATAAGATAGTATTAATAATAATGGAATGTATGAGTCAAACATTAGACGGCCTCGTTGGACTAATGGAGCAATGTATGGCTATTAAGCGTGGTCGTGGGATCGATTTTCACAGTGTCCCAAGTTTGTTATCAATTTAAAATTCTGTAATACGTTGAACTTTCTCTTAAAATCTGAGAGTGGGTGGTAGGAATATCGAATATCCTTCCGTGTCACGAACCACCACAGAAGAAGCCGTTTCTGTTTCAGTCTGTCGATTTCTGAATATCCAAAGTCAATATAGATCGACAGCGCATCAGGAATGGTATGTGTATTATTGTATGACTGGTTGTTTTTATGTTCCATGCTTTTCTGTCCTACAAAGTAAGCGCCATAATGCCATAATATTAACTTGTTTTCTTTTGTGTTTACTAAACTGACGATTGAGTAGACTGTAGATCCTTAAGTAGAAATAAAAACTTTGACAGTGATACTAGTTAGTTGTAGTAGTAAGGACTAATTATATTCTTCCTAAGATTCACGAAATATGTATATGTGTAAGTATGTATTTTATCTCGGGACAAAAAGCATTTTTATGATAAACAATAAGAAGGTAAACTTAGAATATTATATGAGTAAAAAAATACTGCATTTAAATAATCACAATTTACTGTTTAAAAACATTTTTATATCGTATAGTTAAAACTCTACATTGTAGGATAGCCTCTCTAATATAAATAATAATAATTATGTAACGTTATTTTACTATCACATTTTTATTAAATAATAATATTACTATAAAACTAAGTATTGATAGTCTTACAAATTAATAAACAAGCAATATATTTCTAAACAGAATCTGTAGTTCATAAAAAGTCCAAAGAATATTAATTTTCATTAATTCATTACACCGCAAGACAAATACCTAATTTAAAATACTTTGAAAAACTTATTAAGATACAATTCTGAATTCCAAAAGTAATGGAAAAACATTTTTAATTATACCATTTCGCTTTTTTACATGTAAATTAACTTTAAGGAGTTAAACTTAACGGGTAATATAACATTTCACATATAAAATCGATTAAAGAGTTTTATTCAATGTGTACATCTTAAATATTTCATGTACGTACACGAAATATTTACTGTGTTAACATAAGTACGAGTACTTCTTCTATATTATATGTTACAGTCAATTAGAATTATACATATATCCATAAATCTCGAATTTTATGATGCAAGGCAAACGTGGAATCTCTTTGGGAAGGATATCTGAAGAATTGGACAGTACTTTTATGGTACAAGATTATTGCTTAACCTAAGTAAGAAATAACAATCGAGACGTTTATAATATATTCCGTTTGTACTTAAAACCATTAAAATAAATAATTAATACAAAATAACTTAAAAATATCTAAAATTAATCAGTCGAAAAGTATTACTCTTTCTCCTTCTTCTTTTCCACGTTGGATATTTCCATGTCTCTTTCTCTGGTTGGCAAAGGTCCGTGTTTCCAGTCCGATGGGTACCCTCTTAGTTTTACATCGTCCCACCATTCTTGGACACCTTTTCCGAGGAACACGAAAACTAAGTTCGTGGCAAAGAGAACAGCCAAACACACCCAGAATGCAATTCTCCATTGTTTCAAGGTAGACTGAAAAATAAATAGTTATATTAGATATATTTAATGGACTAAGAGATTTTCTCAATTCAAATATTGAATTGATTATATCTTAGTGTTCTTTGAGGAATACGAATAATTCAATCATTTCGAATTTAATTGATAATAAATCTGTTGAAACTTATACTTGACTGTGAAAGAGAGCGTTACAATCATATTTAAGACATTTTAATCACATTTTAGGTTTGAAGTATCTTTTTTTTCTTTTATTATTTAAATAAAAATTCTAACTTCGAAAAGTCGAAATTTTCTTTTTTTATATGAATTTTAGGCAGAGATACACTTAAGTTAGTTGGTTCTATATTAAGCATGAATTATGATGATATAATTTGTTCCGACAAAAGCACTAATGAAAGTTATTCAAAGAGTTAGTAAGATATATATTATTAACTTACAGTTGGTGTGAGAAGCCCGATCAAATAAGGAGAAACGATGCCAGAAACTGAAGATATCCCATTGACAAGAGCTGTTGTAGTACCAGCGTAGTTGGGGCTCAAATCCAGCACATTGATTTTCATTCCGCAGTAATAAGCGCTCATAAACGCCATAGCAGCGACGAACCAGACGACAGCCAGGGTGGTGTTACAGCCAGAATATGAAGCCAGAATAATGCAGATACCAGGTCCGATGGCAGCTAGAATGATATGGGAATTGTTTTATATTGAAATCATTTGCGACACTGGCAGGATTTATACCACAATATCAGGTAGAGAAACTACCGCGACCCTTCTTCCTTCATCGAATATATATGTATTTTTTGCACAGTTCAATTTCGATCTTGGTGTAATGGTAGCAATGTAAGTTAAAAAATCAACACGTCGTGGGTTAGATCCCATGTTTCTAATCAATTAAGAATCTATCTGAAACATTAGACTTTGCCTGGAAATCTCGATATTAAATGTGAGTTAGAAAATCGAAATTCCACGTCATGTACCGTCCATTGATAAAACTGGCTTTTTCTGTAGATAGTGTGGAGTTTGAAGCTGATTCATGTTCATGAAACATCACCTACCATCCATCGATATCAGACGGTAATCGTTTCTCAGCAAAAATTTTATGTTCAAAATATATTTTTAAATCACTCACCAACTGTGGTGAAAATTTTTCTTGCATTCTGTAGACTGTACAATCCTTTCTTAATACCAAAGTCACTCATGAGTCCAAAAATGATTGAGGCAATCCACATAGCGATATAGGGCATTGAAGTTAGGAAACCGGTCGATTTAATGTCGAATTTTAATACGTCTGTCATGTACTTTGGTAGATCTGTGACCATTGTGTAGTATCCCCAGTCATGACCGATCTAGAAGAAAAAATATTTGTATTAGTAGATAAGTATTACTACCGCTTAGTCGGGTGACGTACGTTCCTTTTCCTCAAGGTCACATCCACAGATAGAAATCTACAGATACAAATTGAGACAGATGCCACCTTTGCACCCTTGGTCAAACGATGCCGGGTCAAAATTCGTAATAGTCATTCCGAAAAAAAATACGTGTTACGTGTTATTAATTAAATAAGTATACATTAAAAAAAACACAATTTTAACTGTTTGAGTAAAACATCGGGTCGTAATTAAAAATAAGGTAACTTATTAGAGTAAAAAAGTCATATTTACCCGTCAACATCAAATTTAAAAACATATAATTCATTAAAATATTTATTTTTGAGTTTATATTTAAAATAGGAGTTGCTAGTAGTTTAACATAAAAACCCGAATATATTTGGTTAACAACAGTCTAAGATGAGTTTAGTCATTGAGATAAAACGGATCCACAAATAGTTAGAAGATACTTTGAACTATCTAACGTCTAGATGATAATAGTATATCATCTAGACGTTAGATATCAAGATTAGTTATCAAAATATGAGTGCAAATCAATTTTGTTTCTAAGCCTGTGGTCTGATATAAATGCCATTGCGAGAACAGTAAAGCAATACATACATAATTACAACAATAACTGGGTACAGCGCTTCGTGATTTATAGTTCAGATTAGAGATATCTGGTAGAGCTAAGAAATTACCCAGCAGCAAGAAATTATCATTATTTTCACATTTTATTTGCTATTAAAATGCATTTTCACACTTTTGTTTTATTACCCACAATATATTAGTGTATATGTTTATATTTTTAGTTATATCTTGTTCTATAATGTTATATATGTGAGAAACTCAATTAGCCGCGATATTGTTTGAGCTACTTATAAAGACCAGTAATATTCAATTGAAAGGTATTTTTTTGATAAAATTAATAAATTTTAACTGCATTGACTGGATATTATATCAATATCAGTTTAGCTGTTGAGGCGTGAACCAAGGGTTAGATTAGAAAGAGACGCGACGCGATGTGTGTTTTTAAGGTATACGAAAAAATAAGTTAAAAATCGATTATAATTTGAAAATACGACACGGACAGGACTTGACAGACGGAACCGTCCTGCTCTCTAACCAAATGAGCGACCGAGTCCTACACGTCATCATCGATTTTTTTTTCTCAACCTGTCAATTCGGTACGCTGTGGATCCGGCACCATTCATGTCCTGCCTGTATCGTATTTTTTTTTTTCAACTTTTCGTAGTGCCACTATGTGCAAATTTTTTATACGACAAAATTCACGTTTCATGTCGAAAATTTGACATACCGTTACGTCACGCTTGATGACATCCCTGACCTCTTGTCGTCGCATGTCGGTGTAAGCTGACTCTTAGGATGTATTAGATACTTACACCAGCTACAATCAAAGCCCATAGAGGAACCGAACGGACCAGCGCCTTCCACGGAACAGGATCCAGCTGTTTCTTTTCATTATTGCAGAGGGCTTCCACATTTTCATTCAGAAACCTTTTTTCAGCGTCAGATATAAAAGGGTGCGTGTTTGGAGAACTGTAGCAAAGCAAGCACTGTAAAGAAAGAAAATTAATATCTGTTAAAGTATTGATAGAATTAGTGTATCATGTGACTAGCGAATTTTGCGAGGTAAATTAACTTGATTGATTGACGTTGGATCGGAGTTAATTAATTTTTCATTTAGAGTTTTAAACCGTTAAGTGCTTTATTTAAATAGATTTGTCTAATAAAAACTATTGCTTTATCTTAAATATAGTTACGCTAATAAGCCAATGTATAGATGTCAAAAATTAAAAATCACTTCTGACCACGGCTGCTATAAAGCATCCGAAACGTCGGCCGCAGTAAAAATATTTTAAAGTAAGTGTAACTAATATATTTCGCACTTAAAACCGTGAAAGTGTTTTATTAAAATGTTAGTACCATTTTAAATCCTCGCGTAAACTACAGAAAATATTTATTATGTATACTTTTACTATACGTATTATGAATTGTGGCAATGTCATTTATAAAAGATGTTCTGTTAATATTTTCAGAAAGTGTTTCCATGAAAATTTTAAACTTTTCAAAATCATTCAATGGCTAAGTAGCTATATAAATACTCTCTGTAGCTTGGAATGACTAATCGCTCATGGCTACGGTTGCTGTAGCATATCCGAATCGTCGGGTCGTTTTACAAATACATATTGTAATTTCCTTTGATTTATTTAACTTATCGAAGTCAAAATCAAAGATCTTTTATTCACTTAGGTACACTTATGACGTCACACCAGTCAAAAAATTAAAGACTTAATTCATTAGATATTCGTAATTTATATAAAATAAGTATAACTTCCGCGTACCCAAAGAACGAACCACGCCAGTCCAAGACCACCAAACAAATAGAAGACATTTTCCCAGCCACCATTGTGCATTATGAGACCGGACAGAAAAGACCCGGCGACGTTTCCGATTTGGGCTCCACCGAAGACTAGGGCGCCCACCCTTGATCTTTCCGTTTTGGGTATCCATTGAGAGATTATCAGCATCAGCGCTGGCATTGACGGTCCCTGTAAAGACACTTCGTCTGTAACATCGTCTAGTAATTATAAAAAAAAATACACATTAATTTGAATCTTTACAGTATATTTTAACCACGATTCTATACTTTCTAAAGTTTATGCGAGCACAACACATTAAAATAAAACACTTTAACGGTTTACAACGCGAAAGTTATAACTTATTTTAACTCCCGACGTTTCGGATGCTTTGCAACACAGCATATTAAATTTATAAATAAGATTAATTTGAAATAAGATTAATAAATAAATTTCACGTTTTAAACCGTTAAAAGAGTTTTATTTAAAAACGATTCTATAGAAAGAGCTCTCTTTCTATAGAATCGGAATCAAAATGGAAGAACTATTTTTGCCACACCGAAAAGTTTTCTTCCACAGTACACTCTACCAACATTAGTAATAAGAAAATCTATTTATTTCACAATATAAAATAAATGCTATCTGCCATATCATCTATGCTATGTTATATTTTGTATTTGGTTATAAACTTAATCTCTGAATTATAAACAATATAAGCTTTAAGCACTCCGTACATTTTACACAACATTTCTATTTTGATCATAACAAATGAACTGGCCGAACCGTTCATAAATTCTCATCGGAAATAGCCAACTATTCATAAACATGGACGTAATAACTTATTGGGTCAATAATTCCATACCCTGATTGATGTAGGAGCGAAATACTCGTGGTTGTAAAAAGATTATTGTTTGCACTATTTTGCGATATTAGTAATGAGCTCCGTGTTTTTATTAAAGTTAAAATCAAAGTAGTCAATGAATTTTAAATAGAAATGTCTGTAGTGAAAAAAAATTAACCACACCAATACCCCTACCACCTACAACTCCCTCCAGAGGAACCCAGGACCCCTTCCGCTTAATACAACGCTAGGCAACACATTCAACCACTTAGATACAGAGGCAGTCCCTTTTATATTGTTACCTCAAATATGGCATGGTCAGTATTAGTGACAACTAATAGTTATAAAAACTACCACCACATATTTTAAGGTACTTACTTCTCCAAGACCCTCAATCACTCTTAGTATGAAAAGAGCAACGGCTCCACCAGTTTTCACAGCAAACGGAGTGATAAATGTGCACACAGCTGTCGATAGGAGTCCCAAAGAGAGCACCCATTTTCCACCAAACCTCTCTGCTAGCATTCCTCCAGGTAAATGTGTAGCCACATAACCATAGTAGAAGGAGCCCAGGATCAGACCTTGAGTGGATTCGCTCCAATCAAATTTATCAGACTGAAATGATTAAGAGATTTTAAACGAACATTTTTATAAGCTCGTTAATCTTATGATAACAATGTATGGTAGACAAACGGGTTTGATCCCCAAAAGCAACATTTTTCTGAAATATGTTCGACTTATTCTGGAAATCTGAACATTAAATTAAAAGGAATATTAAAGATCTAGTTTCGAAAGAAAACGATTTTACACGTTTGAAATCAGTTCATTTCATTGACAAGCCTTATGAGAAGCAGTCGAAATAGTACAGTTATCTAGATCACTACGAAAGGGTATAAAAAAGATTATTTTAATAATGGTTAAGCTCACGCCGTAAAGATACGACAAGTGGCTGTCAAGTAAATATACACCTGAAACAATGATGCTAAGATAAATATTTAGTAGATTTTTTAATATTTAACTCATTTAGGGTAAAAATTATGTCTGTAGTTTATGCGAGTAAATACTGTGTATAGTTTACGTGAGTAGTACACATTTAAATAAAACACTTTAACGGTTTAAAACGCGATATATTAGTTAAACTTATTTGAACATGATTTTTAACTTCGGCCCGACGTTTCGGATGCTTTGCAGCAGCCTTGGTCACGGGGAGACCACGGCTATGGCGATGCTATATCGAGATGGCGCTAGCGTAGCAATTTTTTACTTTGACGTCAGAGACATCCTCCATCTTTAGTCTCCCCGTGACCACGGCTGCTGCAAAGCATCCGAAACGTCGGGCCGAAGTTAAAAATCATTTTCAAATAAGTTTAAATAATATATCGCGTTTTAAACCGTTAAAGTGTTTTATTTATGCGATTAGTACAAATTTAAATAAAACACTTTAACGGCTTCAACGCGATGCATATTAGTTAAACTTATTCGAAAATTATTTTAACTTCGGCCCGACGTTTCGTCGCACACATCTCTGTCTCTGTCTCACTTTTTAAACCTGCCTAACCGAATTGTTTTATCGTAATCGATCCCGGAAATTGAACACGGGATCTGTTCGTGCTTAATGCAATGCAAGGAAATGCGTTTTCCATAAATAAGTCAATTTAACTGTAACATTTTGACGATAACAAAGAAATGATGAAACAAAATACGACACAGGTGGGAATCTAACATAACTAATAGTTTTGTGTGTTGAATGTCACCTTTATTATTACACACGGGGGGGGGCCCCGGGGGGGGGGGGGGGGGGGGGGGGGGAGGGGGGGGGGGGGGGGGGGCCACCGGGGGGGGGGCGAAAACCCGGGCGCCCCCCCCCCGGGGGGGCCGCCGGCCGGGGGAGGGGGGGGGGGAAACTCGGGTCAACGGGGGAACGGCCGGGGGAGGTGGGGGGGGCCGTCCAGCGGCCGAAGGCTGAATGACATTATTATAATGACAACGTTTAATTATGTTTAAGATTTTTCACTGTTTACAGTTACAATAATTTCTGTCTTACACGTTTGAAAGAGGATAACAAATAATTGTTTCTCGTATGATAACCGATAATTGCCATGGCACAAATGTTTTGAAGTGAACTGTTATGTTTACAAGGCTTTGTGACACATTTAGCCTTGTGTAAAAGTCGATTAGGAGCTATTTATTCTAATTGCTAATACATAACATTTCTAAGGACCAACTTCATTATTATTTATAATTGAAATTAAATATATTAACTCAAAGGTAAGCAATATACAACGCGGTATCATAAAGAACATATGAAAGAAAAAAACAGTAAACGTTTTAAAGACGTAAGTATGAAATATACATTTATATTTTACTAGTTGTGCCCGCGACCTCGTCCGCGTCCCCCTTTTTTGGCACTAAAGAGTAGCCTATCCTTTCTCAAGCTCTAGAATATCTGTGTAACAAATTTAAAGCAGTTTCGGAGTTAAAGCCAGACAGACAGACAGAGTTACTTTTGCACTTATTATAATAATAAATAATATAATATAGCTTTACGAGATATTTTGATGTAGGATCATTACTTTTAAAACAACTTCATATTCAGTCTAACACTATAAGGGTCTGCTACTATCATAGACACCAGAACGTTTTGTCTGTAAATAGAATTGAATCTCGAAACAGACACATAAATGTGGCGCACCATACTTATATGGGCAATAGAACTGCACACTTTTTTATTTCTCGCTTTATTTTTTGATGCATTTACAAGGTAATTTATTTTATGATATAATACTGTCTACAGTTTACGCGAGTAGTACACATTTAAATAAAACACTTTAAAACACAAAAACACTTTACAGCAAATCATCCGAAACGTCGGGCCGAAGTTAAAAATCGTTTTCAAATAAGTTTAACTAATATATCGCGTTTTAAACCGTTAAAGTGTTTTATTTATTATATGATTCCATGGTTAGCGTTACTTCGCATCTTTTGAATATCTAGGCAAATCCCCTCGTGTTTTTATCTTATCGATCCGTCAAACGTGGATTATGCCTAAAATTAAGGAAGAACGAGTGCACCGTTACATTTGTCACACCGATAAATAGTAATAATAAGAATCTATAGAGAAATTCGAGCAACCCTACACAGTCGTAAAACAATAAACGGTTTAAAATTTGATAGGTTTTTTTATGTATAAGTATATTCCCTATAATTATACAGTGTACACAGAAAGTAGTTAGAGATGTCATAAGTCAATAGAGGAAGGAAAACATGAATGAAAACACATTTAACTCATATATTAACCTTATTTTCTGCCTTTTTTTTAATCAAGAAGGATTTTAAATCTTCGATACAGATGAAGCAAACGTATTTTTATAAACAATTAAAACAAACATTGAAGCATTTGTTTTTTAATAATATTTTGTGACTTAATTAAATAATTAAAAATCTATTATAAATTTAAAAGAAAAATACGACTCGGGCAAGACTTGAATCGGCATTCTCAGCGTTCCGTGCTGTTGCTCAAACTCTAAGACCTGCCCGAGTTGTTTTTTTTTTCAATTTATAATCGATTTTTAATTTTACACTTTTTACAAACAATTTAACTCACAAAAAAACCTGTGTGCATCATTTGTGTTCAATAGTTATAAACTCACAATATAAAAAATGAGTATAACTAATATGCATTATGGTTCCTAGCAAAGATTGACAGCCCAAATCAGTATTCAGGATAACAAGCGCAAGAGCATTTTAAAAATGATAAATCTGCCATTGTTGTTTTGTCAATAGCCAAGGCCGGGCCCGACGGTTGACCCTGCATTGTGAAATGAGTTGAATGAAATTGATTGACGAAAATATGGATCAACGGGTGGTCATTCATTGAGGACGTCTAACTACTTGCACTGTGAACGGATTGCTTCATGCAGGATACGAATTAGTTCCATACTTCTTTAGGTCAAAGTGCTAGGCCGATTTTTACGGACGTTAACCCTGTGCTATATTAGACTTTAACGGTTTAAAACGCGAAATATATTAATTAATCTTATTTTTTTTTTTAATTTTACTACAGAAGAACGTTTCGGATGCTCTACTGCAGCCGTGGTCAAAGGGAGACGTCGCGTGTTTTTTTTAAAGAGATGATAAATGAGAGATTGTATTTGAAGTTATAGTCACAAGTAAAAATCATTTATTTACGTAGATAAGTACACTTATGCACGTATAACACTTGTATGCATTTTGAACTCAATTTGTGGTTAGTTAAGTTGCGGGGATTTTCCCGCGAGTAAAATATTTTCATTATGATTTGCATACAGCCTTAGCGGGGCAAAAAGAACCGGTGATGTACCACATTGTCTATTTGGTTCATCGGTGTCACATAATATGTTTTAAAGTTAGATCGATGTCCGATCTACCTTTACTTTCTTACCGATCGATTCAGAAAAATATAAAATTGATTAGACAAAATGTTGAACACAGTGGGAATAGAAGCTACGGTCCGTTGATTGTCCATACATTGCTATTAGAATTAGCCATTGGGGGTCCATATTTAGCGTCTTAGATAATTTGTTTGATAATATCGGAATTTTAAACTGTCACTACTGACCTCACCAGATGCCGTGAGTAGATTTTCCACCACCGTCGTAGTATTAGCATTTGGATCCGGACAAGCATGTGGGTCGTAATCGGCACTGCCGATTTCTGGAGCAACCTTCCTCTTCACCATTTGAGTGATCGCCAGATTAAGGCACTGGCGCATGGTAAATGCGTTGGCGATAGCTAGTAGTGCCATTATAACCATTACATACCTCTGGGGTAATATAAATACTGGAAGAATGGAAAATCTTACTTAATTAAACCTGAAAATCTCTATAAATTAAAAATCGAATATAAATTGTTCGGACAGGACTTGAACCAGTATTCACAGAGTTCCGTGCTGTTGCTCGAACCAATTGAGCTATGGAGTCCTACACATTTTTATCCTACGAATTTTTTCAACCTATTGATACATGCGCCTCTCTCTTTTGGTTAAAGCAACAGCACGGAAGGCGGATATCTGTTCAAGTCCTGTCCGAGTCGTTTTTTTTTTTCAATTTGTAATCAATTTTTTATTTATATATTGCCATCATGTGAAAAATAATAAAGTTTTCTACGTTAATACTAGTCTACTGATTGCTAAGTAGCAAATTATTTTATAGGCATGGATATATATTGCTCTGTCCGTTTTGAGGTAAGAAGGTAAGTTTGCTAAAGATAAAATAACACGAGAAATTTTGGGTTCAAATCCAGACGCCATTTGTACGGCGTCTTTTTTAAAAACATTGAAAAAAATTATTATTTAAAAAAAGTGTTAAATTAGATGTCCGAATCGAAGTTAATATCCTATTAACGACAAGTTATATAAACTTTTACAACTTGGTGGTTTATTCATTAAAACTTTTATCTTATAAATATTGTTAATAATATTTTGACTGTAAATATTTCTTACAAGAAAGGCGTTAATAATACATAACTTATATTAAATATAAATCTTGAACCATTATTTTCACATGCACATGACGAACATTTAAATTTTAGATTGAAAAATGACACACGCGGAACTCGAACCTACCTATTGATTGATAATGGCGGAAGTAACGGACCATGCCGTAAACTATTTTAAAATTAAATCTTCTAAACTTACGTTTCGAGACAGCGAGCCTCCATCCCGTTAACATGGCGAATGTTTTTTACACGTTCCAACAATGCAATGAGGAAAGAAATACTATAAGAGACCACCTTCCTGCACCACAGCCTTCGCCACTATTACCTGACTAAGAAACTAATCGGGCATTACAACGGTTTGGATACAAAATAAAAAGCTTGAATCTGTTATGATTCTTATGGCCTTGGTAAAAAGTGCTAGATTCGTTTGCACTTAGATGTAATTGATTATTATATTTTCATTGTCAGTATCGAGTACTTAGGTGAAGTAGAAAGGTCAATTTAAAATACTTTCAATTGGCAATTTCGTCATTGCAACTTCAAGCGATTGGTACTTAACTGAGTTATAAGCCGACTGCGTAAACTTGTTTTGATGTTTGTTTTGTTTATATAAATAATAAGGTTTATGGAAGACGAAGATAAATAAGCATGAGGTTTTACAAAATCTAAACATGATAATCTGTTGACCTATTTATGCTTTTGAAAAATTGATAAACTGGAACAGAAACGTAATAATTATTTACGGGTTTTAGTCTGTGGACTGTGGTCGGGAGTGCGATACTCTTCCCACCAATTTTGTAAACGAAATTTTACATGGGTCAAAAAAGGAAATTAATTTCAGCAACATGTTAGACCTGATGGAAATCAAACCACGAACAAGTCCCAACGAGACCTTTTAATAAATCATATATGTGTGTATACAATATACATTATATACACACATACTTATATAATATTTACATAATAAACAAGCTGTCACGTGCTGGTGTAAAAAGTACCTACGGTTAAAAACTTAATAGTATAATAATTTCGCGTTTCAAACCGTTAGTGTTTTATTTAAATTAGGATTATTTGAAAATTATTTTAACCACGTCCAAGACCACAGCTGCTGCAAAGCATCTGAAATTGTCGGGCCGTAATTAAAATGATTTTCAAATAAATTTAACTAATAAATATGGCTTTTTAAACCGTTAAAGTCTTTTATTTAAACGTGTATTACTCGCGTAAACCCTAGACAGTACATATGCAGTTTTTAGTTAGAAAAAATATACATTGATCAAAAAAAATATTGGACTACTTGGGAATCGATTCCATGACCTGTTCCGAAAGTGTCGAATAATTCAGCTTTTCGCAGACGTCATTTTATTTAGGTTTTACTTATAAGTATTGACGAAGGTCTTGAACATGAAGTACTTAAAAATAGTATTTATCGTGTGTAAACACTTGTATTACGTGACGCCAAGACAAGAGTAATGCGAAATTGACATAATCAACAAAATTTTAATACCCCAACTGATTGTGTCACTTCTATCAAATATATCTAACGCACGTGCGGAAGACACTTGGGTTCAAAATCGCAATCAACCTCATCTTTTCTATAATCAACTCTTTTACACTAGCTGTGTCAGCGAAGTTCGTTCGCTAAGAATAGTTATTTTGGGCATCTAAATTCGTTTTGCAAACCCCTGCATCTTTATAAACTTAAACTGTTATTCACGATATCGATCGCGTACTGTCGCTCTTGCAAGTTAATCTCAAAAGATAGACATAAAGCATGGCAGACATTTTTTACAACGTGGGAATCATTCTCTCATAAAAAAATATTTGGGTGTCCTAAACCATTCTTGCAGCGTACGCGTCGGAAACCTGCAATGATGAATAATTTTTCCCGTTTTTTCCACATTTTACGCTATTTCACACACTACTGTTTAATAAAATAATGAAATACAACACACTTTAATAACAATGTTTCTTTTGAATGAAAAGCCAATAACCAAAGGTAGTAAAGTGAATGAAAATGTTATTTCAAATATGAACTAAATCCAAATCTCCTAACTACTTTTTTCTAAAGACACTGTTGACCCGTTGGAGTACTATAGGCGAGATAATCAGAGGGTCGTGGATTCGATCCCCAACATATGCAATATGTTCCTAATCAATTTATAATTTTTCAGAAACACATTAGACTTCGGGAAATCTGATTATTAAGTTGATGGTAAGAATATCGATGTTCCATCTGAGTCACCCCACAGATGAAAAAACCGTCTTTATTCGAATTTCGGGCTTATTCTGTGGTTTTCCCTATATAAAATAAAACTAGGTCGACAACTTGAAGTATTAAGGTGTTATATGGGTTAGATATTCATTTTTTTCCCCCCCCCCCCCCCTGTTTTTTTTTTTTTTTTTTTTTTTTTTTTTTTTTTTTTTTTTTTGGGGGGGGGGTTTGGGGGGGGTGGGGGGGGGGGGGGGGGGGGGGGGGGGGGGGGGGGGGTTTTTTTTTTTTTTTTTTTTTTTTTTTTTTGGGGGGGGGGGGGGGGGGGTTTTTTTTTTTGGGGGTTTTTTTGTTTTTTTTTTTTTTTTAGGGGGGGTTTTTTTTTTTTTTTTTTTTTGGGGGGGGGGGGGGAAAGGGGGGGGGGGGGGGTCAAAAAATTCCCAGGCTTGTTGTGTCTGATCTACTACTAGAATAAAAAATAAGGTTGCATGTACTTTAATACTTGTAATTCCATTTATCAATGAAAATTCACGAACAAATATAAGAAATCTAAAATAATAATTGCGTGTAAGTAGTTATCAAATATTGAATATTATATTCAAAGCGATGTTGTATTATATTATATAGATGAACATTTACCATGTTTCACCGGGAATCGAACCGGAGCACGTGCTTAGCACTGCAAGCACGTAAGCCCTCATTACATTTTTATAAGTTCCTGCCAATTTACATTATTAACGATGAACTTTTTATAATTTATTTAAAGCAAATATGCAAAATATAGAATGTGGTTTATTGAATGTTTAAATAAATTATACAATTTTTATCTTTAGGTGTCTTATTAAAAAAATGTGGCCCTCTGGAAGTACGTATTATAGCTTTATTTGCCACACCGTTTTCAACTATTTTTATGCATAATAAAAATTATAGCTCTACTGGAACCCATATCCACAATGTTTCATGATAAAGCTCTATCAACGAAGCTACTGGTTGCTGTGAACTTTCAATGCATAGTTAATTCTATAATATTATTTGGAATTCTAAGAAATTAAATAAAACTTATTGTATTTATCGTATATTTGTAATAAATTAGATTCTCTAGAATTACGCGTCATATTTACAAAAAAATAACGTAAAGCTAATTTCTGAAGCCGCCAGCGGCAAAAGATCAGAAATACTCATCTATAATCTATTTTTATGTACATTTGTTCTATTATCAAGTGAAACACATATACAATCTTCGAGAGGAGGGAACCAGGAAGGTTGGTCTTTACAGGAAAGTAGATTATCTCAATTCATTTAAGGCAGTCCATATTTTTCTCAGTATATTCTTCATCTTATTTCGATAAGAGTTTCAAGAACTATTTTAAGGTAATGTAAGATGTACTTTATAATCTCTCCTGAGGTTGACTGGGGCCGTTAACTTTGCCAAGGGTTACCACTGTACAGTGGGTGTGAGCATGAAGCTATCTGGGTGGGTATTTTTATTATAACGTATGTTATGGTAAGTAAGCTTATAAATATAAATGTTATTTTGGCAAATTTTAACCCTGTCATCTCTTACTCTTATAATAATAGTGTTATAAAAAACTCATCAGTTTAACAATGTCAACAAAATAGTAGTCTACACTAGACACAATTCCAATTTTAGGTTATGCTCGTCTCCTTCTCCTCTGTCATGAATAGGTACGTTTCACACATTTTTATAATCACTTCATTGTTTTTCATTTGTCTTTGTTTTGTCCTTTTCTGGGTCTTGCTCCCTCGTGGGTAAAGGACCGTGCTTCCACCCAGCTGGGTATCCATGTTTCTTCACGTCGTCCCACCATAGTTGTTCTCCCTTTGCAAAGACTAAATAAATCGCATTAGTCACGACCAACACTCCTAAACAAACCCAGAATGCGACCCGCCATTGTTTTAATGTAGACTGAAAAATAAAAAAAAGTCAGTGAGAAATCTTGATTTATCGAAAGATATTTAAGAAGTCCTATCCTAAGAGAACTGGTACATCTAAAAATCCCTGGGGGGGATGGACCAAAGTAAGAAACAAAGAAAACTGATATATTAATGTCTGTTTCACTGATGGATTTTTGTTTACAGTTGATCAGACTCTTATGACCTCCACGATCTCACGTGCTTAACGTAGCGCTAAACAATGCGTTCAACATTAAATTCGAATAAAGTCGAAGCGGTGAGAATGTCTGACAATACCTGACAATTCAAAACATTAAACTTACTTGTGGAGTAAGAAGTCCAATCAAATAGGGAGAAATGATGCCAGATATAGCAGCAATTCCGTTAACAAGGGCTGTAGTAGTTCCAGCATAGTTTGGTGTTATATCGAGGGCGTTGATTTTCATACCACTGTAGTAGGCACCCATGAGAGTCATAGCTGCTATGAACCAGAAGACCGCGAGAGTTGTGTCACACCCAGAGTAGGATGCCAGAATGATACATATTCCTGGACCAGTTGCAGCTAAAAGTATATCATTAATGTTAGTATATTGTTAATAATATTTCTTACAATTGCGGGAAATTCTAAAAATATTTACCAATAGTTGTATATATTTTACGTGCGTTCTGAATACTGTGATAGCCTCGTTTGATGAACAGGTCACACATAATTCCAAAGAAGAAGGACGCGATCCACATAGCAACGTAGGGTGCAGCGGAGAGTATACCAGTGGACTTGATATTGAATTTCAGAACATCTGTCATGTATTTTGGCAAATCGGTTATCATTGTGAAGTAACCCCAATCGTGGCCAATCTGAAATAATAAATCAAAAGTTAGGATTATGAATATCAGTCTCGGGCTATAAAACTATTCAACGGATTGAAACACAGTGTGGTGCTAAACGTGGTGGTGGTGACTTAATTTAATCATATGTGTCTGAACCATTTAAACAACATCACAATAGAAAATCAGATATAAATAAAGTAACAACTGACATTTTCCCCATGAAAGCTTATGAAACATATGTCTAGTTGATAATAATAAAAAACTCTGATAGAGTGAATATAAACAAAAATAAATTTTCAATCATGTGATTTTATTTTAAAGTTTAAATTATATATTACACACTAAAGCACATTTTCCAATTAATGTTAGTGCAAAAGCCAAAAAACAAATAAACAATATTTTCGAGCGCTAATTGTTGCTTAATTATTTAATTTTGTAATAGTAGCGGGTCTTTTTTTGACCGCCTCTGTAGGTAAATAGTTAAACGTGTTGCCTAGCAGTTAAGCGCGAGAGGTCCTGGATTCGAATACCGAGGAAACAGTAAATTGTTTCGGTCGGACAGGGCACAGAAGTCTGATCAACTTGCATGTAAGTAAAACCGTGAGTGAAATGAACACATAAATGTGTTCGTTACACGGTGTATGTCTATGCCTCACGAGAGGAAACGGGATATTGCTTTACCTTTACACTTTATATTACGTGACAAATACTTACAGCTGCAATAATCAGCGACCAAAGTGGTAATGAGCGTAGCAAGGCCTTCCACGGTACTGGGTCCAAGTCTTGTTCCTTGCTATGAATTAGGGCTGCCACATTCTCGTTTAAAAATTTCTTCTCACTGTCCGATATGAAGGGGTGCGTGTTTGGTGTGCTATAGCAAATGAAGCACTGGGAAATAGAATTATTTTAATTATTACTATACTTTAAACAAAACAATATGGTTTAAGACGTGAATCATATTTGTAAAAACTACGACCAGACGATTCACATACTTACAGTAGCCATGATCTCGGGTGGAGTAATTTCATATCATTTAAATCTACATTGACATATTCTCGATGTTACCAGTAAAAAATGGTGAGATCGAAAGTATGTATTATTAAATAATAATACAATTATATATATATATAATGAAATTTTTCTAATTTAATTGTGTTGGTCATGTTAATCGTAACAATCTTAGTACAAATTTTTACAACAACCTTGAAAATTTTAATGAGAGAAATAATTCTTACCCAAATAATAAACCAAGCCAAGCCGAAACCACCAAACAGGTAAAACACGTTTTCCCAACTACCCTCGTGCATTATCAAACCCGAAAAGTATGATCCCCCAATATTTCCAATTTGCGCCCCTCCAAATACTATTGCCCCCATTCTGCCCCTTTCTGATTTAGGAATCCATTTTGAGATCATTGCCATCATAGCTGGCATAGTGGGACCCTGAAATAAAAAAAAATAATAATAAAACCCAGATAAAAGCTTGAATAATTTGTGGACGATAGCAAATAGTGAAAGAAACGAAATGTCAGTAACGATATAAATCATATTAAGTATGGAATTATAATTGATAGAAAATTACCTTATACACAAAGTTTAAATAAATGGAAACTGAAATTTGAATATGACAATGAATGGAAATACGGCACCACAATTGACACAGTTATTGGTTCGAAACCTAACTACGCCTCCATCTTTAGTATCACGTTAAAATACAATGACAATAAGATATATTCAAGGAATAAAAAATATAAATATACATTTTTAAACGTTATGCCCCTTATAACAAAACTAAGGAATATTAAATCTGTAATCTATATAATAAAGAAATAAGAAATCAATTAAACGATATCAATACAGATTGATAAACTACTTACTTCTCCTAGACCCTCGATGACTCTCAAAACGAAAAGAGCCACAGCGCCTCCTTGCTTGACAGCAAAAGGCGTGATTAAGGTGCAAACCGCTGTCGATAGCAGGCCCAAGCCCAACACCCATTTACCTCCAAACCTTTCTGCCAATATACCCCCCGGTAAGTGTGTCAATATGTACCCGTAGTAAAAGGAACTTAGAAGTAAACCCTGCGTTGCTTCACTCCAATCGAACTTTTCCACCTGTAACATATAATCAGAAGAATCACCACTGATACCGACGAAATATATTAATTAATTTGTTAATATCTAACGCTACTTGATAGAGTCGAGGCCATAGGTGTGTGACGAAAATTGCGTTTTAACCCGTTAAAATATCCATATTTCAAATTTAAATTATAAAGTGTGATTAAGTCAATAAACACACAATGCCTAAAGAATGCATAGCTATTGAAATAGTTTGTAGTATTAGAGAGTATTAAAATGAAATAACTTATACTCTTCTTAACTTAATTGTTGCAAGTATATAACAAGAATTATTAAAATTTATTAAAATTTATCCTATATGTTTATATAGTATTACTGAAGACTGAATATCAGCGCTTAGCAAGTCTTGCTGAGCCAATTTAAACTTTTTTTATTCTTCTTATTGTAAGTCAGTTATTTAATTTAGTTGTAAGTAATAACAAGTATTTGTGTGAATAAATAGATTTTTTAAATATTTATTGTATTGCTTAGTTTTGTTGTTTATGTCACTGTCGAATTTAATTCATTGGTAATGGCAGGATATATTTGTGTGTAGATAATGTGAAAGTTGAAAAACATACACAAAATATAATGTCATATTTGGTAAGTTATTTTTGGAATATTCGTGAAAGAGAAAAACAACTTTCAACTTGACATGAAATGACGTTATCTCAAAAGGTTTTAAAGTGGGGTATACTCTTTTCGCAGGAAGTAGCTAAATAGCGCGCTCATATTGTAATGTAGATAACATTTTTAACGTCAAATACTTGACCGAGACCAAGGACATTTTAAAATAAACACAATAACATAATCGAATGTTAACTAAATAACGTTTTAGTATTCTTTAATACTTTTACATAAAGGTGGTAGGTATTTTAAATTTATCTGAAGCTGAAGAGTTGGTTTGTTTGAACGCGCTAATCTCGAGAACTACTGATTCGAATTCAATTTTTTTTTGTGTTAGTTACAGCATTTATTGTAGAAGGCTATACGCTATAATAGCTCTGTAACTAATAGGCGTGAATAAACGCAGGGAAATGTCGAAAAAACTGAAAAAAAAAATTCATCCTTGTGGGTTCCCATTGCGTACAAATAATTGGAATAATACATAAATTTCGACCAAATTTGATTACCATGACAACGGTTTTTGCGGGCAAATCTTAAGAAGAATCATTTTAAATATTTTTTTCTTTGTTTTGCCGTTTTCGCAACATACGCAATATAAACCCTTAAAGATAAACTTTTCCTGTTTTTTTTTTTGCATTTTCCAGTGTTTCTTCGATCCTATTGCACCGTGACATTATATAGCCTAGTCCGATTGCTTTGATAAATCCAACACAATTTTTCAATTCGATCCAGTAGTGTCCGAGTGATTAGTCGTTTTGACAAACAAACATCGACATTTGAAAAAAAATTACGACTCGAGCAGGACTTCCGAGCATCCACAGCGTTCCGTGTTGTTACTCTGACCAATTGAGCTACCGTATCCAAATCGTCATCGTCGAATTATCAACCTACACCCCTCGCGCAATATGCAATAACATGTGATTTTTTGTTTTGTTTTCAAAATTAGAATAAAATTTCTTTTGTATAAGACTTACCCCGCCCTGCGCCCGCAGAAGGTAATCAGCTAGTTTCATCGTAGTATTTGCTACTTCGTTGTAATCCGGACATGCATCTGGATCGTAATGTATACTTCCTACACTCGTGTCCCGTTTCTTGACCATTTGAGTGATCGCTAAATTGAGGCACACCCGCATTGTGTAGGCGTTCGCTATCGCAAACAGGGCCATGATAGACAACACATAGCGTTGAGGAATTATAAATACTGAAACAATACAAATACGTTTAAATTAAATAATTTTAGCATCCAAATTTTTTTTAACGATAGAGCAGGACAGTTAACCACGAGGTTCATTTGATGGTTTATTGACCTCCTTAGTACTTCTAAATAGCATCTAACAAAAGATCCGCTGTCAACTTCTTTTGAATTTGGATTATTCGTATCTTCACGGACTGAAACCGAAATTGTCGATTAAGTTTCACGGCATTTTCATCTCTGGACAGCTTGTTCGTGACTCGGACGAAATTTCTACGAACTCCTACCAGCCATTTAATTGGTACAGATTGGTCCGTAGCCTACGAAGCGCAAGTAACGGTGAGTGTACTGCCGTGGCAGACCTGATCGTTTCGGAAGAAACCTGAGTGTGAGTACAAATATGTTGGACTCCGGTGGCGTTCTAACTCACGACATATGAATAAGTCATAGATTGCTAACATTACACCAACGAACCCGTCAAAAATTGATCGAATACCTCTAGGAAATACTTGTTCTCGATCAAGTTAATGTCTAATTTTTATTCTAGATTCATAGATTGAAACCGAAACGAGATTGAACTTTCTCTGGAAAGTTTTCATATGTACGGCATGCCACGTAGATCCCCCCTGAACACAGTGAAACTTTTCTGGAAGGCGGAATAAATCAAACGTTTTGATTTCAGTATATGGATATCCGAATATTCTAAGTCAACAAATTAGACAACGATGCATCATGCTTAGATATGGCTGGGGTATTTTACCTTTCATAGCTTGTTTGTACCCTAAAACAAACTTAGCATTACAGAATTATTTATTATGTCTAACGTCAAGTCTAATTAAATACTATTTAAGTTGTAATTTTAAGTTCGAGATAATAAAACTTATTCTTAACTACGAAACTACGTTTGTAATTCGAAACAAGCCAAATTAACTTAACTAATATATTCTGCGTAACAATTAATTAATTGTCTCGACTTTACCAAAATTGCAAAACCGTAAATAAAAAATACTAAATAAAATCTAATCTAATGTTTAATAATAAGCAATAAAGATATTTATTACGTTATTACTAATAATACACATTTCAGTTCTCCTACACGCGAACAATATAAAATGTGAGTAACATGAGATTTACAGCACATTGTAAAATATTATAGCCGTTAAGCTTATATGAATTTCAAATGCGGATATATCAAGTTAAAACTAGACATTGTATACAGGATAAGGACATGGGCATAGACAAAGACGGTTAGATAAATGAAGAAATGTACCTATTTATTTAACAGACTTTGTTTACTATATTTAATAAAGATCTCTTATTGGTCTAGTACAATACAGTCAAATGTTTAACTACGTCTAAAGCAAGATAGTAAAAACTTTGGTTCTATAGTGCTATTTATATTTTTTTGATAGAGCAGAAAGAGAGCATAAGTTTACCTGGTAGGTACGTAGTATTTAGTATAGTTTTCACGGCTTTTTTATCTGTGGAGAGTGGTTCATGGCCCGGACGGAATTTCGATATTCCAACCACCCATTCGACATCCAGGTTTTCAGACAAAAACCAATATGTTTTAGAAAAATAATGAATTTAAAATAGAAAATTAAGACTTAGAAAATAATATTATTATATTATATACCATAATAATAAATTAGGTACTACTCCCACAAGTTTAACAACAGCCAGTCTCTTGGGGGTTCCCCTGTATTTATTTCGCCATATAAAACCGTTAGAATGGTTCATTAAATAAAGCGATGAGATAGTCTGTATTTTACGCGAGTAGTACACACTAACATAAAACACTTTAACGGTTTAAAACGCGATATATATTAGTTAAACTTATTTGAATACAATTGATTCACAGCCCGACATTTATATCGTCCTTTTAACCGCTGAAATGTTTTATTTTAGTGATGTTATAATTTAAAAACAGAGTCAATATACAAGGTTTAATTATTTAAATAAATGATAAAAATGTTTAATAGAAAATCACTTACGTTTTGACACAGCAAGTCTCCACCCCGACAGCATGTTGCTGAAATACACAAAATGACTATTATAAAAAAAACTAAAAACAAGACCACACTTCTTCCTATCACCAACTACACTACCTGAAGAAGCTAATGACGAGTTAACAATGACTACAAGTCGTTACGTGATTGTCGTTATCTCTCACTTAAATATAGCTCTTATTGTTCGGATAGACGTATGAAATTGGCGTGTGCCATTATTTATTAACCCAGTAAAGTTTTCATTGTCACTGCCGGGTAACTCGAAGCGGAAATATCAATTTAATGATGGTTGCGTTGCGTTAAGACAAAAAGTTTAATGAGAAATTTAAAACGCTTTAACGCGATGAAAATCACGGATTACTTTATTCAATCATTGGAACCTTCTGAAACTTTTGGATGTTGCGGAATGTTTAGACTTTAGGAAATCATTTTGAATTAACTGCTTTCATTATTGTCAGTATAAACGTACTATCATTTGTATGGTAATGCACGAACAAGACAATCTATATAACATGAAAAATAACACTTCTAAATTAAGTGTCTTTGAGTTGACCGTTTACGCGAGTTGTAGTAATTTAAATAAAACGTTGGTCCGTAGTTAAATAATCCCTAAACTATTTAAATAAAACACTTTAACGGTTCAAAACGCGATATATTTTAGTTAAACTTGTTTAAAAATTATTTTTAACTACGGCCCGACGTTACGGATGCTTTGCAGCAGCCGTGGTAACGGGGAGACAAATTTTAAACCGTTAAAGTGTTTTACTTAACTGTGTACTACTTGCGTAAACTACAGACAGTACTTAATTCCTAAAGAAGTTAACTAATATATTTCACCTTTTAAACCGTTAAAAATGTTTAATATAAAAAAGGCCGTATTTCTTACGACATCTAGATTAGGTATTGTGTTCTGCGAGTTGATCATTATTACCAGTTTCAATAAAGCGCCGCTAAGGAAAGTTTCTCTTTAAAATTCTTATCACAATATTAGAGGCACATTTACATATTAATTATATGATAATTCGCGTCTTTCTACGATTTTTTTTAATGTGACATCAACAAAGGCGTCCTTCATATATAATACACTAGCTATGCCAGCGACTTCGACGGCATAGAATAATTATTTTGGATATCCAAATTCGTTTTTGCAAACCCCTTTGTCTTTGTAAACCTAGCATATTTTTTTGGTATCTTGAACCGTTATTCTAGCCTAAAATGCTCTAACCACCAAACCAAAAGATTTTTTCAATTCGAATCCGTAGTTCCTGAGATAAGCGCGTTCAAACAAACAAACAAACTCTTCAGCCTTATATATTATAGTATAGATAAGAACTTAATTTCAAATATTCTAGTATGTATTTATTGTATTTAGTTTAGTTAAGTAGATCTGCCTGCGTTGAGAAGTACGTAGTACATCTAAGCCAAGATGAGTCGACAATTGAAGCCGAAAAGATTATTATATAGATAAATTGTATGGGATTGACAGATACTATCGACTCTATATTACGTCACATATTATTTTACGTGGCAACGACCACCGTAGGTTTGAATTGTAACTCTTTTAATTTTCTTCTTTTCTTTTAATTTCTTTTTCTACTTTGCATCTCGATCTACATATCAAAAAGTTACGGTTTAGATTTTTTTTACGATTGAAGAGAACAGACAATAAAGGCGTTCACTTAATTATAGGGAAAGAACCCCAGCTATATAACCTAAACAACATTTCGACCTATTTTGACTTTGGATATTTGGAAATCCACAGACTGAAACCGGAACGCTAACATTTCGATGTCCCAACCCCCCATTTAATAGGCAGGTTTCCATACAAAGACCATCGTGTTCCAAAAACATAAGTTCGTTATCGAATAGGAAGAACATATTTCTTAGTCAGTTTCCAGACCGGTTCTTTTACAGTCTTTCCTCCAAGATTTGAACCAAGGACTTCTCGCGTTTGACGGCTACAGAGGCCGTCAACGGAGGGTGAAATTTTAAATGGATAAAACTAAACTCAACTAAAAGATTAATATATTTATATATCCGAAACTACGTAAGAATCATATCAAGGGTGTTAGATAAATTTTGGTAAGCCCTTGAAATTGAAATCTTTTCGATCTACACACGCGCTTGCTCAAGATAAACTTGACATTTTCGTAGGATCGATATGTTGAAGTACATTTGATAAAAGACAAATACAAAAATCATACATTATCTTTCATATACCTTTATCACAGGTATTATAATAATATTTTGGTACTACGTAAAACGTACGTCGATTTAGTAAAAGGGAATATATTATTACACATATATGCTATATATTTTTGTGATAGAAGAGGATAGACAAACATGGGGTCAGTAGCGTAGCGTTAACAAGGGCCCCGGTCTACCTAAACCTAGAGCCTAAGAAAGAATTGGGCCCTCATCCCCTCTAGCCCCCAGTCTAGCTTGAATTAAATGAACCTCAAAAATTATAAATAGCATCAAAACCAGTTATTCAAATACTTTAAAATAATATTTTTCTTTTACGCTTATATGTTTTCAAAGATGAGGTTAGGGGGCCCCAATTTCCGGGGCCCTTGTGCATTGCACCACCTGGCACTACGATAGTTACGCCACTGCATGTGGTTTACTTGATTGAAGGTGTCCTCAGCCATATCTATAATAAGATTCGCTGTAGATCTATGTTCGCTTTGGATATTCGGAAAAATCGCAACGCCAAAAAAACTTTTCAGCAAATATTATATAGCCTATACATATATTATTGTGCATAGTTTTATCGTAGCTACTCGACTCTATATTGTATATATAATTTTAAAAATATCAGATTTTGAAAATATTAGCCATATTTTTTCTAATAAAAAAATAAAATTGTTTAACTAAAATGCCCTAACAGTTTAATTCCCAACTTTAATGATAACTTAAAATTAGAACTAAGAATAGTTAAAATAATTTTGTAAATCCTTAGAGAAATAAACGTCTTAAACCATAAACCGTAGTAAACTTTTTAACTACGAGAACTTGTGGTTGCTCTGTAGCAACCGACAACGGTTGTCGGGCTAAAATAAATTAACTAATACTTTTCGCATTTTAAACCGTTATTTAAAATGTTTTACTATTCTTGCAATCTGGATATGATATTTCAACTTTTTTTCCAAATATTTACAAATCTCAGTTATGTTTTTATATGCTGACATAATATGACCCAATTATAAGGTTTGAAGAAAGTAAAATAGTATATCTCTTATAGAATTATTATTAATAATACTTTATCCACCTAGCCTAGTTTATCAATAGAGTACAATAGCATTAATGCTAGGATTAAATTGAAAACACTTGACATATACTGTAAACATCGTTAATAAGTGTTTGTTTATGACGAATAATATAATACTAGGAAGATCTTAGTCACCTGTTAGGGTGAGGAAGTTTAATTGGTGTCCCCAATAGCAAGTAGTTATTATACTTATCTTTGGTGGAATTTTTAAAAAGGCTAATGAAATAAATACCCTTTATTTAAGATCTAATAAACTTATCTTAAACTGTAATGTGTATAATAATAATTACAGTCTCCGTGTTAAAAAACTTTACTTATTTTATATTTTAAACTATTCTAAAAACTTTTAACTATATCTAAATGAAAAGGCTAAGGTACATTTTATATTATGAACTAACGGCTATGTACTTGCACAATGTCAGATGAAGTACTCTATTATGGTAAGAGTTCGGCGTAAGGTAGTAATGTATGGCTGATAATCAAACACGTGCATCTTCATCTAGAAAACTGGATATTAAATTGGTAGAAGGAATATCGAAATTTCGTCAGATGATAAAGTCGCCAAGTTAGCGTTTTGGTTTCAGTCCGAATTTCAAAAATTGAAAATTGTCTTTTTGATATGTAGTTGAGTTCACTAACCATTAGACCCTCGAGGCATCGTTTTAAATCTGTGCCTAAGCCAGCGACAGCGATTTTAAGATCCATGGCTTTTATACAACTTTGTTTCAGTTCTCTTTTATTGATGATATTGAGATAGTTATGTAAGTATAAATAAAAAAGGTATTTAAACGAATATTCTATAACATTACATGCAAAATCAAAATTTTTAAACCTTTGGTGTAATTATAAAGTGAATAATTTAAGCAATTCTATTTAATGTCTTTTAAATAAGGCCATTGAAACTAGTATAGACGTAAGTGAAAGTATTTTAAGTAACTTTGTTAACTATTGTTCATTATATATATGAATTTATGTAATTATGTGTTAAGTGTATAAACGTACATAATAGAGAATGCCAAACTGTCTCGCTTGTTCGACCTCTGGGCCACATAATATCAGCGCTGGGACATTAGTCCCTACGTAGCTAAGTAACTTTTCAGAAGCAACTGTTGTATTCTATCTGTATTTACATATATTATACTAGCTGTGCCAGCGACTTCGATTCGTTCGAATCGTTATTGTGGGCATCAAAATTAGTTATTGAGAACCTTGACATCTTTATAAACTTAAGCTGTTAGCCATGACATTGATCGCGTCTCTGCTCGTCGTTCTTGCAAGTTTATCTTAAAAGATAGACATATAGCGTTCCGGACTTTTTTTATATCATTTAAAGAGACATCATTCTTTCATACACGTTGTTTAGGTATCTTAAACCGTTTACGCAGCGTACGCATCTGAAGCCCACAGATATGAAAGATTTCCCCCGTTTTGTTCACATTTTCTGCTGTATCTTTGCGCCTTTTCGTTACAGCGCGATGTTTTATAGCCTATAGCCTTCCTAAATAAATGCTCTAACCAACACAAAAGTATTTTTTCAATTCGAACTTGTAGTTCCTGAGTTTAGCGCGTTCAGACAAACGAAAATCTTTATATATTAGTTTCAATTCTTTCTTTTATATGTTTTCAAAATTACTTTATTATTGTAAATCTGGTTTTGGTTCTGAACAAACCTATTCCTTTTCTATTCTACGAAAGATAAATCCAGTTACAGGAAGTATTTAGCTCTGGTTATAAAACTACGGATGTAA